CAGACATTTTTATATTAAATAATAATTTTATTAACATAAAATTATAGCTATAGTATATCATGTTTTGTTTTGACAGAATTTTAAAACACAATATCATTCTTCTTTCACTGCTCTGAACAGTCCGCACCTTTGTTTCGAAATAGAAAGAAAGCGGGAAAGGCGAGGTGCTCGGTGACCGCAAGTATTTTCTCCTTTCGAAAAAGTTTCATCTCTTTCAAACCTTTTCCCGTCCTTCGTTCACTCTATTTCGCAGGAATTATTCGCACGTTACAATTCGTTACTCGTTCTCTTTGCAGAAATATTTCCATGTTTTTCTGTCGCGATGTACTTGCTTTAATATTAATCAGGATGTACCTGAATCATTTATGGAAGATTTTGGCTTGAACATTAATAATCGTCATCGATGTATATAGATGCGCTACAATCGATTGAACTAACAACTGTCCAAGATCGAAACGCTGTTCCCATTTTAGTCTTCGTTTTCGAGATTATGGAACGAAAGGAGTACGAATCACAGATACATCAACTTTTGAAGATACATCATCGTTCATGAACGTCATGGAAACATGCTTACAGTTTTGACAAATTATCAGTATTTCCGCCTATACATATTTCGAAAACGAAGACAAATTGTCCTATGGTATATATAAGATTTTCTGCTCACAATGATCTTCCGAACATGTTAGTAAAGTCTGCCGGTTTCGATCTGGGACACCCAACAGAACTGGATTTTATAAGTATTGGCACGCTCGTGATTTCTTCCTGTTTCAGGCGCAGAATTAAAGTCATTTTATTCCGGAATTTTCAGTCGGTAAAAACTTAATTTAGAAACTGTCCATGGATGTTCGTGGTTTTAAAACTAGTTGTCAGTGGGAATGAAGTTTTCCGGAAATGAATGTTTCAAGATTGGAAGAGACAGATCAAACACTGCCAATTTCCGTGCAGTTCAACGCGGACTGACACTCATATTTTGTAACCCCGAATCAATCCAATTTTTTACTCCTACTATTCGTTTCTGAAACGAAAGATCTGTTGTCTCAATGTCGGTGATTCGATATTAAATTCACGAAAACTGAAAGGAGAAACGTGGAATCGGGTCAGCATAAATTTAATCGATATGTACAGAATTTTTCGACGTCGTTTCGATTCGGATGACGCTATGTCATGTCTGTAGTTCGCTATTCATCGAGTTAATCTGAATAATTCTGTTCCTTATTACTTATTGCAGGAATGATAATTAATGATATTATTTCGTAACATTTTTACATAAAATCCCTGATCGTAGAATTAGAGCCACTACATTTTTCTCACTGCTTGATCAAATTGAGAGCTGCATCAACAATTAAGACGCTATATACATAAACGTTAATTTTTCTACGGTTTCAGATGAAAAACTTGGAAAACATTCTTTACGATCTTTTTATCATTACAATCAATTCCAATCTCTCAAAAATTTGTTATGCTTATTATTTAGTAAACTAGTCTATTATCTCACAACAAATTTACGTTATTTGCTTTGATTTTTGAGGAGTTATTTGGTTCGATTTTTAACAAGTTATTTCGTTTGAAAAGATGTTAACACACTTTCCGCGGCGACTGTGTGTACATATAACATTCAAAATGCCATCCTCTTCGAAATTACCGAACGATGCTGCCCGTGATTCCGTAGCCATGAACCATTCTCACAACTCACAATTTCGTAATTTGCTGGTCGCTTCCGTATACGCGGCAAATTTAATCTACTTGTGAATCTCTGACCGCTTGTTTCGAGGATAACGAGAGGGTTGCGTGTTCATGTGCGTGAAGCAGAGGCTGTTATCAGATCTTGAGGGTTGTCTGTGCAGATAAGCTCAATGCACCCCCGGAAATCGTCGAGATTCATTGCTGACGCTTCGGAGATAATCTGAATTAAGTATTTGGCTCCTCGAAGTTACGGTATCCCTCATAATTATTCGAACGATAGCGAATTTTGCCAACGCGTGCAGTGTAAGTAATACGTGTTAACACGTTGCTTATACGTGTGATCTAACACCAACATACAGTAGCCAAATATGAGAAGTCAAGTAACAATAATTTCTGACTGAAATCACAAATTTATTCTTTATCTTTGTTTACCTGATAAAAGTTTTCGATTAGTAACATTTTTGGCTTTATATACCAAAAGTGACATTTAGAAGAATCCTGTGTATCTAGCAGACGCAATCACAACAGATTGCGACAGAATTAAAGTAATTAATAATGAGCAACTGAGTGAACGAACGGAACTGGGCTTTGACTGCTCGTTGGCTCGGCCGCCTCGCGCCAGCTGATCTCGCCTCTCATTGGTCAGTGTTTTTCGTTAATAACTCGTAAACAAAGCTACGGATTGCATTTGCGCTAAGGAAAAATTTACTTCGAATGATCTCAGGAACCCTTCATTTCCCGCTTGTACAATAATTTTGGTATACCCTGTATACTGCGTTCAACGCGAACTGGCAAAAAATGTAAACGGAACTTTTACTTAATCGGTGCTGCGGTTGCAGCTGAGTGGCTGTTAGACGACGATGCTCGGGGACGAATTTTAGGAGACTCTCACCGAGGAGCCTTGCATGCAGGGTGTAGTCAGGGAAAGCGAGAAATGGAAGGGATACATTTCGTAAAGGATTTCGAGAGGTATCGGGTGCGGTGGAAGAACCTCACTTTTCTCTGGCTACCCTGCTTGCATGAAAGACCAGGCATGCTACGTTTAGAGTAAACGTTGCATTGATTTGACTGAAGGTCCCTTGTTTCTCGATCGTAACAGATTAATAAAGTAAATGTGAGAAAACGTTTATTTTATAACTTACTTTACTTTTACCTCGTTACGTATTTTAGTTAATAACATTATTCAGTTTATAACATAGCATTAATATTGAGTAATTATTGTTGAGAAAGTTAACCTCCTATTTTCTAGTAAAGATAAGGAGTGCTCGAAAATTGTAATTCGGTCCTGGTCTGATCACGCGTCACTCAGCGTGCCAGTTCTCGATGAACGGGGTATAATAATAACTTCTACAGCTGTTTATTGATCAGTTGACTACTACTTACAAGTAATTTACTTTTGCGAGAAAGGAGACCAATGATGCAGGCAAGTTCGCTTGGATAGGTAGATGGTTTGGAACTCTAGAACCGTTGGATTTGATGGCCTTGTTTCTTACGAAGAACTATTACGACATTCGCTCGGTCACGCGGCACAAGATAATGAACCGAGACACGTGACTAATGTATAAAGCATCGAAATACAATTTCCTGATCTTAAACTGGATAAAAGGACTAGCGAGAGCGGAATGATATATCAAATTATTTTTCATCGATTGCGCTTCGTTTCATTACAAGCTACATACACGCGCTTTGATGAACACCTGTCTCGGCATCTTTCCTGCCACAACATACGTAATCGTCTTATTAACTATAGAGACTTTGAGGTTGAACGAACGAGTTATTACTAGACTGCGAATTGTCTGCATTTATCAAATGATTTTAAACTACTGTTCCGTACGGGGTTGTAAACGTTTATCTTCTTATGCTGTGCCAAATTTGATGAAACGAGCACTTCGAAAACATTCGTTTGTTTGAGTTTAATCGAAGAGTTTAAGCAGCGGAGACAGTTGAAAACATTTGTATTGTGTAGCTCAAAATGATGGTTGTTGAAACTTCGAGAAGTTCTTACAATAATCTATAACGGTGCTTCGTTTATGTGATTAAACTCAAACGAGAACAATTCAAAGATGTATGGTTCTATCAATTTGACATTGCATATTCATTGACTCGAATGTAGAGAAGTTTTTGGCTGAGATTCTTTAACTTTCAGTGTTCTGTTTCCGTTCCGTAATTGCAGTGTCAAAAGACTTTGTTAAAATAACACAAAAGCACAATCAATTTATTTATTTTTTACATTCAGAATAAGTTCATGCTATTTTACCTATTAACACGTTCCGTGCCGAGCTTTTTTTACTCGAATCTTCACACTTTGATATTTTACTAAAACTTGAACGTGCAATTATTAATTCTCGTACACATAACAACGTAACAAAAACTTATCAACGCCCATTCTTGCGGTGGAAATTGATTCTTCGGTTCTAAATTTCTTGTAAACAATTTGTTCAGTTCACTAAGTAAACATGTAAGCGTGTACCATCGATGGTACACGTGGCACGGAACGTGTTAATGAAATTTCAACAAACGAATATTTTAAAATTCATACTGTAAATAGTTC